ACGTTGGAAACCATGGGATTGCTGGAGCCTAGTGGTGCCGGGAATGCGGTTTTGGGGGCCAGCATTGCCATCTTGTAATTGTGATATGTCAGGTGGACATTGACTGAAGTGAAGTCGGCGTGGTCGATGGCGGTGGTGATCGCGGGAGGGGTTTGTCTCAGCTGCCTCTCCTGGAGCGCGTCGTGCCGAGAGAGGATTCCGTCAGGCAGGTTTCCGAGACAGGGAACAAGGCGTCGGGCCGGATGCGATAGAAGCGAAGAAGTTGCGATATAGCGAAAATGTGGAATGTAAGTGTCTCTTGCTGGATCCGAGTCGGGGAATGTCGAGCCTCTTCAGTGCCGGACCGTAAAGGTCTGGTTTCTGCTTGGAGACGCAGAGGAGGGAATTTGGTGAGGGCGAAGGTCGTGTGTGGAATTACGGGTACTTCGGCCGGGAGGGAAAAAGAGGAGGGAAGGGGAGGGTTAATGATGGATTTTGGGGGTGCAGGGGACTTGCACTTGAGAGCCAGCGGCAGGGGTGTGTGAGTGGTGCAGGTGTAAGCAGCCTCAGAGGTACCTTTACACACAACTTGGGATGCGAGATACTTCATCAGTGGGTGGGCAGCAAGCACTACCACAGAGACTCTACCTGAGGTGAGCGACCACAGACCATACAACAGGGGGGAAGGTCAGAAGAGGGGAGGGCGGCAACAAGCTTCCAATGCTTCTTCTTCCTTTGTCACTTTGTGTGCTGTCGCAGCAGTCCGTGAAAGGAAATGGACTTGGCTGAGGCTCCAATGCAAAGAGGGATCTCTCTGAGGTGCTGCGTGTGTACAACCTTGGAACAACGGACGGTATCACTGAACAGCAAAGCAAAGCAAAGCTGAGCTACAAAACACGGGATTTACAGGCCGCACAGTCCTCGCAACGGCCCTGATGTGTCTGTTCGCTTGAGGCAGAAACTTGGGGGAAACAAACACACTCGAGAAGCTTTCCGCAGAGTCTGCCCTTGAGTCTTGGGCTTTTAGCCACTGTGACGGAGAGAGAAAGGCAACGTTGCGAAAGGAAGGGTACGACGACGATGAGGCGTACGGCAAGGTTTTGTTCGCGCTGTTTGAGGCCTGGTCTTTTGACGTATTGTTCAGATATCCCCTGGCCTTCTTCGTCACCGAGTCTTTGGGTACGGAGTAGTGTTTCTTCATTTTGCTTGGGCATGTTGTCTACCTGCCATACAGGCTTACACAGTACTCCGAAGAGGCTTACTACCTTATGGTGTGCTAGCAATGTGTCCCAAGATGCCGTCAAAGAGCCTCCATCTCAGGCCAACTTGCCCGGTTCCCTCGGGTTTGCGGTCCACTCAAGAGCGACATTACACGGCAAAATGGCACGTCGATTCAACAAGGTTTTCGCTGGCCAAAGGCTTCTTCTGTGTGTTTCTCTCCTCTCCTTCCACGATGAGTCTCAGGCGCGATGGCGGATCATGGATGGAGAAGCCAAGCCCCTGTCTGCACCCTTGGCAACATGGCAACCTTTAAAAGGGCGTTTGCAAGGGTATGGCGACGGCGGCGGCTTCATGAAACTGGCTCAAGCAGGGTCAACGCCGCACGTCCCCACCCAAACTTTGGCTCTGCAGCGGCACCTGCCCTCCTCAGTCAGTACCTGCCCTAAGCTGTCCTGACTCCTCAATAGCACTTGCCCTCACTGCTTGACTGCTCAGTCAGTACCTTCCATCATTGATTTTACTGCCCATCACTAAGGAAGGCACTCTAGAAAGACTCTGGAGCGTGCCTTCCCGTGCTTCCAACCAGAAACATGGACAATGTACCTGAGGAAGTCCTGAGGAATTACTCAGCCGTGAGCCGTCTTACCCCGAAACGTCCCCAATATCCCCCAATGTGTCCCCAACGTGTAATTTGCCCTCCTCAATGCGCCGTCATGCAACCCCCGCCGCCTAGCCAATCGCCGCCAAGTCGATATCTCGTGTTCTTGTATTGCAGTGTGCCACAAGAGACCCTCTCGTGCTTCTGATGCATCACGGCCTGTTCATCATGACGACCACACACATCAGAGCCTGCAGGGACTCTGAGTGAGAAGAAAAATGGTGCAACAAAATAGCAACCACGTCCAGCCACGGAGTCCGTGAACAGTGGCAGATGGGCGGGTGGTAGTTTATTCAGCTGCGGACCAAGCTCAAGTTGTTCTTCAAACAAATCAGAAAACACCCCGGCTTCTCGCTCGCCTCTGGAATAATCCTACACGCGCCTATCCGAGTCCTTTTCTGCTATTCTTGGCCCGTCAGCAAACCCGCTTGGTTGCGTGCGCCGCCCGCCCCTTGCTTGCAAGACTGTTCCTATTCAAAGCCTCAGACTCTTCGCGCCAAAGCCACGTCACGGCGCCTCTTCTCGAACCTCGACCGCCCTTGACTCCCGACAAAGATGGGATGCAATTTCCTCTGGAACACAATCTTCCACAACGATGGCTTCGGCCATAGTGAAAGCCACCGAGGCGTACGAATACCGAGTGGTTAGTAGCCACGCCATGATGCACGGCCTCGCCTCCGTGGTGCCAGACGTCGTCTTATCGTCAGCCTACCCGTAACCCACCCGCAGAGGCCTGTTCACGATCCCTTCTCGGGTGCAGGTGACAAGGCGGCCCATCAAACGTACACTTTGGCATGCCATGTTCCGTGGTCTCTTCTATCCGTCCGGATACAAACCAAGGCCCGGCATGGGCGCTCCACAACAATACCCGGCTCCTTGGAAGAGGTCACCGTCGCAACCGGACGCTGTCAACAACAAGAGCTTGTCCGTCTCGCCCGGATCACGAGAGGGCCAGAGATTCCCGCTGCGATGATACCTCCGCCGGTTCCACTCTGCTTGGGACGATGGCACGATTACACGATAGGCGAAGATTGGTTTGGCCGCTGACCAACAGGCAGAGATCTGGTCCGTTGAATGGACACCATACGATGGAGCCGAGTCCTTGCAACGTGATAGGCCTAATGAGCAGACCAACACACCCTGATAATTTGGCTGCTATCCCCTATTTGCCTTCTCAGCCTGCCAGGAGGTGCAGGTCGCCACCGACCATCGTGAACTACCTATCAACGAACCAAGAGGTGCCCGCTAGGGAAGTCAAGTGTAAGCTGTTCGCCGAGGACAGCACAACAGAACTGCAGGAGTTCATAGTTACGAGGCCGATGGAGGATTCGCAGAGGCCGGCAGCATGGCCTGCGTCCACCGGTGATTGGCTCCGGCGCACTCCCGCACTCAACTCGGGGCTGGATCGCTTGAAACCAGGCGTGTCGCACGTCTCGACACCCTCTCCGCTGCCCTGCATCCCTGGTTTCCCTCCTCTGGGCGCCAATATCCCGCCGTGTCTTCACTGGTCCTTCGTTGGACACCGGGGACTACCAAGACTTGACCACCACGGCACCACTGCGCTTCATCACTTCACCAGTCTCCATATGGGAATTGGCTCGCAAGACTGGGGGAACTCGGGGGAGCTACGGAGCTTCCTCTCTACTTACCTTTCGGCGTTGGCGCCCCCTCAGATTAATTAACACAGCGACGCCAGTCTGAGCCCAAGGCACATCTAACGTGGAGAGGGCGTTCACCGTCACTTTGCGCATCGTGGATCATCCCGGCTGGGCCTCACCCCTTCCAGAGCCTCTTTGCCTTCTTTGGCACATGTCGAGCCAATCACCTACATTGTCATTTCGAGCCGCCTTTTGACTTTTCTCTGCTTGTAAGAGGCGCCATGTGACACACAGCTAAGCTCTGGACGGCGCACTTATTCCTGTGACACCTCTGATTACTACGGAAAATCAGGGCTAGGAGACATCACAATGTTCACCTGACATTTGTGTACACAGAGTACAGATGTACGTCACTTTTCTTTTTCTTGCAACCTTTTGACCCACGGTCTGCGAAATTGACAGTGCTGAGGTGCCATTCCACGGCATGTTGGTGGATTTGGTTACGCCCACGCTGCTATTTTGGAAAGATACGCAGCCGTTTGTGCCGTCGTCGCACAGAAGGACGCGCAGGGCACCTCATGCTTATCCCCATCTGCTCCTGATGCTGATTCTTCGGCGAAAGCAGTCCGCGACTGTGGGGACATGCAGTCACTGCAGTCATGCGAAGGAAATGAGTTATGGCCCGATCACCGCTTGGTCGCCACCCAAGGAGAGGGGAACACATACGGTCAACCAAGACTTGGCATTTGCCGACACAGATGACTCCTTGAAAACTGACGATATTCCCAAATATGTCCCCTAGAGCGCGCCGCTCACGTTTCAGACCAGACCGCCTGGGAACCGTCCAAAAAGAGCGTCTTCTTCTGCAGAGCAATCCTAGATCCGGCCGTCTGGTCAGCTAAAATGGATTGCCAACGTGGCCTGGTCAGAGCGGGCGTCAACAAGCCTGAAACATGAAACCTTGGAAGATCTGCCTTGCATATCCAGTGGCCATGTCGTTGCGGTACAAACATTTCGGCCTGGTGCTAATCCCCCTCATTCGGAGAAAGCCATCGGTCCTAGCCACGCTGCCACTCTGCAATAAGCGATGGAGATCGGCTTGTGGGAAGGTCTTCTCCCGGTGCGCCGGCACCTCACTACCCTTTCTAGCTGCTCATCACGGACGACGACCCTTGCTGCTTCTGCTTGAGCCTTGTCGTGTCGTTCAAACTTGACGTCGTCAGCCGTGGCCTGTGTGACCTTTGACCGGTGGCCTTCCACGTGGACAGGGTCCTGAAGAAACAGAAACATGTTGAAAGACCAAGATGTGGCCACGACCGCCTTGTCGTCGCAACTAACACTACTCGCAATGAACTTTCGAACTCGTATCGCGGTCTACGGAACGGGACCGAGACCGAAAGTGTCGCTTGCTGCCTCCGTGTTGCTAGGAAAGCTACGGGGGGCAACTGTTACCACTATCCCAACATTCCCTGCTTCTTTCCAAAGGCCCGGTTCAAAGCAGCTATTGCGCTATAGATGCCGTGCTTCACCCCTGCAGCAAATTCGAAGCATCACAGCAGCATGGACATTGCAGCTTGTGAGAAACGGGGTTTTCGCAGAGAGTCTAAGAAGGAAAGGAAAAAGTCTACTCGAAATTGAAGGGGAGTAGAGTTGCGACGAACTCCCAGCTGGGATTGGTGCGGAAACGCTAAAAACCCACCCAGGCACGCCAGGATGCGCCACTTACCGCCAGCTTCGGACGAAGTCCATGCTCCACACAGCTCCGCCGCCACCGTCGCCGCCGCCGCGGCGACCATGAGTTCCTATTTGGGCAGTGTCGGCAAGTCGGTCTGTCGGGCGGGTCGCCGGTCCCCGCATGGACGGCTATCGGCTTGTCCATTTGCCCGGCATCGACGGAGAAAGAGGAGTCTCGGGCTCCGGAGGGTTTGCGGCCTGAGCATGACGACGTTGTTCCGGACGCATGACGCTGCGGCGCTCGTGACTCAACCGTCATTTCGTGTTTCTCGTGTACGCGGGCTCATCGGGATGGCTGACGAGAGATAGGTTTTGCGGACAGGACGAACCTCTGTCTCCAAGAATTGTCGTCGTCAGTCTCCCGGTGGTTCCGTCTGGGTCTCGACATCTCATTCAGAGAACTTGCCATCACAAAAACGCAAAACTCATTCTGTTTCAAGTACAACGTCTCGTGACGCCGTCATCGTGGTTGCTGGCTGACTGACGCATCAATGCTTAGCTGATGGGTGAATCGACTTGGCCGGTGCTAGATGAGCAACACCCTGTGATGGCAAGGACGCCAGACCAGCGTGAGCAATCAAGCATGTCGTCATCTTATCTAGGGCCTCCTATCAATGATCGGCGAGCTATCAGGACTACTTCACTGGGAAAAAACACATTTTCTTGGAAATGGCGGGGCGTGAGGGTGTTGTGTATGATAAGACACGGCAGTCGGCCGGCTGAAGATATGAGCGGCAGTCAAGGGTGACCGCCTTTGCTAATAGTCCGAGGGCCCCCTTTCGCTACTGAGACCTATGTGATATCATCTACGTCCAATGTTGTTACAGACATAAACACGGCAGCCGAAAGACTTTTGGTCTGATACACTGGCAAGCGCAGCTCGCGAGACCAGAACGATCGTCGGAATTGAGCACACGCGTGAAGCGTGTTGTTCATACAAACGCAGAATGAAAGTACCAACAATGAGACACCCTCGACATACGCTCATGATCCACGTTGCTAATGCCAGGGCTGGAATTTCTTGAGCGACGGGATGATCCGCTGTCAGTCCTAAGGCGGCTGACCCGAAGGTGACAACTTTTTGAGCTGTGTCTCGTCCATGGTGAGTTTGCCGTCATGGAGCGGCTACCACGCCAGCAGACTTGCAAACTCAGGATATCCAAAAATGAGCATGGCTGACCACGACTGCTCAACAGGTGAACCAAATTGTCGTCTCCATGCCGGCGGGTTGGCAAAGGTCGCAAATGTCTTAGTCGTGCCTGGCCCGGCATTTGCTCATCGGTGAGTGGAGCATCTTCCCCATGCCCCGCGGGAGCAACCCCTCCCCCTTCTAGCCAGAAAAAAAAAGCCCAGTCCACCACTCGACCTCCGATATCGACGACGACCACCACCGCGACGTCAAAAATCCCGACAGCCCCGTTTGTCGTCGACTTTGCGCCCCCAGCGACTGTAGGACACGCGGAGATCAGTAAATGAAGTCGGCTTCGTATTCGAGATAGTACAAGGAAGCCGTCTTTTGTGTTCTGCAGCAATCGACCGCGCCAAGGTGCGACCCCGACGCGGCTACCCGGAATCCGGAAATAAAGAGCCCCTCCTCCTGCTCATCCTCCTCATCATCATCCTCGTTCGCCGACTTTCCACGGCCACGCAGACAACTTCTGTGTGTTTGCGTCTAAGCATTCTCGGACGAATACTCATCCACGGTTCATCGCACTGCTCAATTTTGAAAGCCTCTTCCAAATCTACGCTCACGTATTTTGATCCGCCCTTCATCGAGACTTTTTCGTCACGTCACGATCCAACCATGAGTGACAAGTCTCAGGTTTCGGCGGAGGCTGCAGGCGGAGGAGTCAAGCCTCTGGTGGGCTTCTTGGGCCCCCAAGCCTCGTACACGCACCAGGTAGGTACCACGAACCTGAAGAGAAGAGATCGCACCTCGCACGGCATATGCCAAGTGTGGTGAGACTTGTCAATCATCTCTAACTTTGTGCATTGCAGGCTTCGTTACAGGCCTTCCCAGAAGATGAATGGGATCTGAGACCGGTCGTCAACATCACAGGCACGTAACTCACCACCCTTTGTCTTCATTATGTCGTCTCTGCTGTTCTTGGCACCCACACTCTTTTCTTATTCTCTCTATTTGTTTGGTTCCTGCGCCGTGCCGTGTGCTACCTCCCGTCTGACTTGAATCGGAACGTCCATCAGACATCTTCGAGGTCGTACAAGCCGGCGAGGTCGCTTTTGGCGTCGTTCCCGTCGAGAACTCAACCAATGGGTCCGTCCTGTTTACGCTGGACAACTTTGCCGACCGCAACGGCTTGTACCCAGACATTTCAGTCTGCGGCGAGATCTACCTCGACGTGCACCACTTTCTTGTCGGCCACCGTCCGGACCCGGTTCATGACGCCGCCGCCGGCCCGGGACTACGGGGAGGAGACGAAGGCTCCGGCGCCTGCACGCCCACGGCGTCGGACCCGAACCCGCTCAAGCCGCGGACGAAGCCGCTGTGCAGTCTCAAGCACGTCCGGCGCCTGTATTCGCATCCGCAGGCGTGGGGCCAGTGCGTCGCCTTCTTGCAGACGTATCTCAAGGGCATCGAGGCCATCGACGTCAGCTCGACGAGCCGCGCGGCAGAGCTGGTCAGCCTGGACGAGACGGGGACGAGCGCCGCCATCTCGAGCGAGATCGCGGCGGGTATGCACGGCATCGACGTGCTCGCGCGGACGATTGAGGACCGCGAGGACAACACGACACGCTTCTTCATCATCCGAAAAGGGCTGGACGAGAAGCAAAAGATGCCGGGCCACTGCGTCAGGCCAAAGACGAAGACAAAGTCCATGGTGTCGTTCACGGTCCCGCACGAGGCCCCCGGCGCGCTGGCGGACGTGTTGGAGTGTTTCCGGCGGTACGGGACGAATCTCACGAGCATCAACAGCCGGCCGAGCCTGACGGCGCCGTTCAACTATGTCTTCTTCGTCGAGTTTGAGGGACACCGGTTCCAGGATCCGGAGGGGAGGGTCAAGGGGGCGCTGGACGGAGTGGCTCGGGTGGCGGAGAGATGGCGGTGGCTTGGGAGCTGGGAGGACCAGCGGTCGTGAGAGGGGGAGGGACTGGCTGGTGGTCTTCCCCTCCCTTCCTCGTGACTTGGCTTGCATTGTCTCTCTCTCTTTCACAGCCTGTCTCTCTGTCTGGCTTCTAGGCCCTGGACTGTTCCCCTTACCTGATTCAGCTTCGGCAACTCTATGGATGTCGGTGTTGGCGACGGCCGTCTCTGGCGACTGCCGATGATCCCTGAGCAAAACGTTGACATGGCACGCGGGATATGCTTTGAGGCTACATCTGGTCTACATGCGAAATACTGAGAGGTTTTGCGGTACTGCGGCCTACAAAGGACCACGAAAGGGGAAACGGGGCGAGTGGGCGGGCACGCCATGCTACTGCTGGGAACACACAAGGGGAGTCTATTGGACGGAACAGGCCTGGACTGGCTGACGACATCGCGACTAATGTCGATTCGAGATAAGGAGGTGCATTGTGAGGGCTGGAACCAGGTCACCAGGACCCTCCAGGAGCGTGGGAGCGTGGGAGCGTGGGATGACTGAACTGTCCCTTTCTTCAGTCCCCTTAGCCATTGTGTAATGGAAACGCAGCAAAGTGCCACCGCGGAACGAAAAAGGTCTTCTCGTCTCGAGTCTGGGTCTCGTCGTTCGTCGTTCTGAGGCGTTTACATACTGTTTTTGCCTCTTCAACCCTGGTTATGTGCTGAGTCGACTCATGGCTACATTGGAATGGTTTGAAAATGCCTCTTCAGACCCTGGCTCTGCGATGGAGTGATGGAGACCTGGGAAGCTCTCAGATGAGCCTTTGATGGCCGAGTCTTCTCGCCGAGCTGGTGGCGTTGTGAGACCTGGTTTATGGTTCAATCGTGACAAGAGGAAAAGGGGGCCGACAATCATGACGGGAAGGACGGGACCCTCCTATTGTCCATGTTTACGGATGAGTTGTCATATGCAGAGTTTTCCTAACCCACGCAAGAGTTGGTGAAGGAGAAAAGCGACGGATCAATCGCTACAGCTCAAGCTATATGTGATGGTCGATCGAGAGAGAGAACGTGAGCGAGATGAGAGCAGAGGGCCGGTCGCGTGCCCTATGTCCGAATGTCTCACAACGCCCGTCCGGCTACATTCATGACTACGGCCACACACGCACCCTCCCCAAAGGTCAGCCAACAAGATGAGCAGATTTGCCAAGCAAGCCCGATTATCTATCGTCTCAGCCCTTTTCACAATGTGCTGGCCGTCGTGAAGGATGGAGACCAAGGAGTAGAGCCAAAGTTAGTTTCGCGAAGCTCTGTACTGGGTGTGGAAGGGGTCAAGAAGCTCTTGCAACTGTTTAGCGTGGTGCGGAAGGGGGGTGACCTGGGAGTTGTCGGGGTTGCCAGAAGCTCTAGGAAGCTCTGCGAAGCTCTTGCAACTTGTTGAGGTGCACCTGCTCTGTCTGCCGTGCACTTGCACACACGCACACATACAGAGCTGAACAACCCCTCTTTCCTGTCTGGTTACTTTCCCCCCTCCTCCCTCAACGGACCGGTCCATGCCCGTCTCTTGTTGGATGTCTTTTTTCTTGTGTGGTCTTTCCCTTTTTTTTTTTTTTCTGCCCGTCCGCCGTTCGGTGAGATTCTGGTGGTGGATCGGCAACTCCACGTCCATTACGTCCAAATTACATGGACAAGACGTGCTGAAATCGCAGCACTTGCAGGACCCCTGGTTGATATGGTTTGTTGTTGGAGGTACTGGTATGGCGACCAAAGTTTGGTCCTGGATCTGGGCCGTCGTCTCTCCGAATTCTTACCTCTTCTCATTTTTCTGGTTGGCTCTGTTTTCTCATTCAACTCCTCATACTCAGATGCCGAGTATCTGCCGTCGCAGTCACAAAAGGGCCAGGCCGAGGTTTTTCGACATGTCGCCAGATGGAGCTCAGCTGGAGCACAATGATGCTCGTCGCTGGATCCCGCGCGAGATGGGCCCACACGACGACACACGTTCCGCCGCGGAACGTCTCCATTTGCCCTGCTTTTTTCTGGGGTCTCTTTTTTTCTCTTTGAGTTGGTGACTTTCCTAACGGGACCCATTCGGGAACTTCCCTGAGGGGCCTTGATGCCATGGCCGAGTGAAAACTTGCGTAAGAAGAGTATCCACGCTATGCAGGTGTCCAGATTCCCGCAAAATACCCTTTTTTTTTTTCTCGCGTCTCTTGCGTCTGCCATATTGTGTACTGTACCTATTTGCATGCTGCTTGCTGCACGCAAAGACACAGAGTTTTTTTCTTCCCAGCTTGTCCCATCCGACAAAAGCGGGCTTGCAACACTCGGCAGACTTTTAGTGCTGCCGGGGGCGCAGAGGCGCCTGTGTTGCAATTGGTGTGTGCCGGATCAATTCCTTGTGCTATGACGTGTAGTGCGCGTAGTAAGACAAGGTTCGCACCGCGAGGAAGGATGGGAAAAAAGAATACACTGACGCCTTCCCCATCCGAAGAATACCTCATTGCTCAGTCAGTAGAAAGGTGTAAGGAAGTATCCAAAGGCAAAGGTATCCGTACGCAGTAGAGCAGGTACCGGAGCTGAACCGTCTGGTCTCTAGACGAGGTATCTTTGGTGTGTTTCCTGTCCGATTTTCACACTGCTTTCCGCCCGTTAACGTGGATGAGAGAGTACTTTCGTCTTACCCGACTTATACTTGCCCATCTACTTGTTGGTGTTCCCTCTTCTCCCACAATTCAAATGTCCCGAGTTGCAGCAAAGCTCAACCCAAGTGGGTGAAGTGTGGACATGGCCACACACATCCTTTCGGTACCAAGTACCGTACCCTCTCTTCCTGTTCGGCTGTTCCCTACCACCACTCCATCTTCTTTGCTCTCTTCCTCGCTCTCATCCCGTCTGAAGGGAGGGGTGGGCTCACCGGGCACCGTGCTGGCCCATGGTCCAGACGCAACAAGTACGCAGTTAGTAACTCTACGTACCTTTTTCCTTGTCGTCTGGTCCGACGGCTGTCGGTCCAAGGCAGTCGGACCTGGACATGAGAGGCGTAGACAGTAGGAAAAGTGGTGGTGAATAGGCAAAGGAACGGCAGCGGCGCGAGGGATCGAGTGAGGAGCGGTTGCCGTTGCCGTGGACTGGACCGTAGAAGCGGGAGTTGCAGAGCTTCTGGGAAAGCTGAACCATGAAGGGGGGGAAGAAGGACCAAACGATTTATAACCAGCTTCTCCCTCTCCCTCTCCCTCCTCGTCCCTCTTCGATTTCGCCATCGATACCTTGTTATTTCGACATTCACGATCCCCTACATCCGACATTTTTGTTGTTTAGACATCGCGACAAGAGCTTCTCACAACCAGGTGCCAATTAAGACACCAAAGAAGCTCTGCAACTCTGGTTCCTTGCCTACCCGTTACCCGTTCACCCCTTGCCGGATTCCATCATCCGTCTTCCCCGTTGGCGGTTGTTCCAAATTCCAGCAAATCCCATAGGATAATTCCCCATCTTTGCTGCTGAGGTGCTTCATCATGGCCATCACGCCTTCGAAGCCAATCTTCTGCGCGACCCACCCCAGGGCCTGCTCTACAGCCTTTGAGAGGGTGAGATTTCCCAATCCCATAACGCCTGTTGGCTTGTTTCTGGCACTGCTCGTTCCTCCCTGGGTGTCTGCTCTGGGACGCGAGCGAGCACGCAATCCCGCCGGACCCCAAAAACGGACAAGGTTCAGGGTGCCTGAATCGTTCCTTTTGGGGGAAGAGAGAGACGGCCTGGCGGGAAGAGAGAGAGAGGGGAGGAACCTGTGGTGTTGAGCGAATTACCACGGGTTCATTCGTTCTGCTTGTGCAACGAAACCACCATCAGCTCGCTGCTGGGGTTACTTCCGCACAGCAAGCGCCATGTGAAGAAAAGCAGGATTAGCTAACATGGCGATTTCTCATTATTCTAGGTGTTTATGAGCCGCCGGGACAAGCTGGCGTGTGTACATGAGCCTTTTGGCGATGCGTTCTACTATGGCCCTGAGCGGACTGGTGAGCGTTTTGAGAACGACGCTGAGGGCAGAGAGAAATCTGGCTTCGCCGAGACGACGTATGCCGATGTTCTGAGGCAAATTGAGGAGGCCGGCAAAGATGTATGTTTTTCCCTCTTCCCCTGATTCCCTTTTTCCCTCCAAAGACATATTTGCCCCTCATTATGAGGTCGTCGTCTTTCCGATCGCGATCTCACCCGCACACCCCTCCACACTATTCCCGCCCATGCATTCCCCTATAGTACGCTACTCCCCCAACCCCTGGCAAATTGAGTTGCAGAGCTTCTACGACCCCCAGTCAAACCACCGTCAATTCCAAACTTGCCCTTCCACGCCCGAAAATGATTCAATTTTCGGTCGGAGGTGCTCTTTGAAGCTTCAAACAGAGCTTCTCGAAACTCTGGATTGATTTCGATTGAAGCGGCGTTTGATGGCTGGGGGTGCTGGCGTGCGTGCACCCGGGGAAGCTTTGCAACGCAGCCGCCACAATGTCGCGCATCGCCACTCAGCGTTCCCCGGTACCCCTGCGGAGCTCTTAGAGTCGCGACCAATGTCGCATTCGACCTATTGCTCAACACCACCACCACAGAGCCATGATGATGCTATATCCCAATTACACAGATCACTAACACCCAACCACAGAAGCGCGCCTTCATCAAGGATATGGCTTACTACATTATCCCGCCCAACCAGCAAAAAGCCTCCATCGTCCCGTCTGCCGGCAACACTGCCGAGCCCACCAACCCCACCGTCCTGCCCTTGAGCATCCTCCGCAAGTTCCAGTGGACGTTCCTCATCCGCCACCCGCGCCGCTCCATTCCCTCGTACTACCGCTGCACCCAGCCGCCCCTGGACGCCGTGACGGGCTGGACAAACTTCAACCCGTCCGAGGCCGGTTATGAAGAGCTTCGCCGTCTCTTTGACTACCTCATCCGTGAGCGCATCGTCGACGAAAAGGACTTGTTGGTTGTCGACGCCGATGACATGCTTGACGACCCTGAGGCCGTCATCCGCGCTTACTGCGCCCACGTCGGCCTCGACTTCACTGACAACATGCTCAACTGGACCGACGAGGACACCAAGGTCGCCCAGGAGAAGTTTGCAAAGTGGAACGGCTGGCACGATGATGCCATTGGCAGCACGTCGCTCAAACCGCGCGACAAGAAGCATGTAAGTCACCCCTAACCCCTACCCCTGATCGGCTGGTGCTTCTGTTGTTGTTTTGTGCTCCTCCCAAACGAAAATTATTCCCCAGAAAGAGATTGGATTAAGAAAAAGGACCTGCCTGTTTGCTTGGGCGCTTTTGAAATCACTTCCTTGAGACTCGCTGGATTATTTTTTTGACCTTTGGTGTGGCGGACGAACACACACTAGACACTAGTGTGGGGTATATTTCGCAGCATGCTAATTCCCCGCGAGAAAAAGGTTATCACCCGTGAGTCCGAAGAGGCTGAATGGCTCAAGAAGTACGGCGAGAAGGGTCTCAAGGAGATCCGCGAGTGCGTCGATGCCAACGTCAAGGATTACGAGTACCTCAAGAAGTTTGCCATTCAGATCTAATTCCTCCGTATGCGGATAAGTACGGCTGGATTTACACGTACGGACATAACGTACACCTTTAACGAAGTTGATGACCAAGAACGCCCACCAACCAAGGGATGAAATTTATACATGCATGTTTTTATTACAAAAACGGGAAATCGGGTTTCTTTTTTTGAACGGAACAGTTCGATATAGGGATATAGGGAAACTTTGGGAGGTTTTTCTATCAGGGACCTTGAAATCGGTCCATCATGGGTTCAATGTAACCGTATTGATACAATAGTCTACATGGCAATGCCAATAGCCAGCCACTTCTAACAGGACTGCGTACATGACTTGCAAAGTCTTTTCTTCCTTTTTGAACAAAAAACCATGCCATCGCACAATACCTACTCCACGTCCATTTTTCTTGATGTACACATTTTCCCCGTATTGTGACAAAAATAGTCTCGGCCAAAAATCTTACAACAGTGCTGCTTGCTCTCGTTCCCCTAGCTCTCGCCCCATACATGGACATTCATATCTATGCCTTGGTATCAGCCTTGGCGTCAGCCTTGCTGTCTTTCTCGTCCTTGCCCTCCTCCTTGCTCTCCTCCGCCACAGGCTCCTTGATGCTGTAGTTAGTATCGTCCCCAGCTTCCTGCACGGGCTCCGCGGCCGCCTTGGGCGCCTCCACCTCGGCGACAACCTCCTCCTCGGGGTCGAACTGGTTCTCCTCCAAGAGCGCCTTGGCGTCCTGGAACAGGTCGTGCGTGACGTTGCCGGACCACTCCTGCGCAAAGTTGCGGTCGTCCTCGTTGGCCCAGTATATCGTCGCGGGCAGCAGCTCGTCGACGGCTGGCGCCTTGGTGGCGCCCTCTACCTGCTCTCCGCCAGACTGGCTGACAATCTCCGTCTTGGCCGGCGGCGCCTTGGACCACTTGCGGCCCTCCAGCGCCTTGCCCTCCTCGAGCACGGCCTTCTTCTCGCGGCTGCTGACGACGAGGCGGTTGCCGCGGCCGAAGCCGGCGAGGACGGCGGCCATGTCGGCGATGGAGTTTGCGCGCTGGTCGTTGAGGGCTAGGGAGCGCTCGTGGCGGTTGCGGACGATTTTGCGGACGCGGACGAGGTCCTCGGCGGCGGGCTTCGTATCCTCGGCGGCGGGAGCGTCGGCGTCTTCTGTCTCGCCGGCGACGGAGTATTTGATGTCGTCTACGGCACCAGCGGCGGCGGCGGCCTTGTACTTCTTGACGCCCCACGGCTTGATGGCCTTTGGCTTGAGCAGCTCGGTGCGCTTCTCCCTGTAGAGGAGGTCGTCCTCCCAGGCGAGCTCGTGCATGCGGCGGAACTCGCGGAGCTTTTGGAAGACGGACTGGCCTGCTGCGCCGGCGCCGGCGGGGAGCTGGATGAGGGCCATGGGGGCCCAGTAGTCGCGGCGGAGTTTTGCGGGTTTGGACTTTTTGCCGTTGAAGGGGAGTTGTTTGAGGGCTCGGTGGGACTATGTCGGTTTGGTGATGTTAGCTGAGCTTCTTCTTCTTTCAACATGGTCCAAGTGAAATTTGCCATTGGCTGCCCCAATTGGCTAGCAACAAGGCCCCCAAAACGTACCTCGAGCTGCTTCGTGTGCGAGTAGATGACCTGGTTCGAGGTCAGGTGGCTCCAGACCCAAATCTGCTCGCCGTGACCCGGCTCAAAGTTGGTGAGCTCATGCTGGGGCGTCCTGCGTCGCGACCGCGTGTGGCCATGCCGTATGCTCGTCCGGGCGACGCCAAAGGACAGTTTTGAGAAGCGAAATACCGGGACCGAGTTCATCGTTGCGAGCTTTGCGGCCGATCGGTCGATGGGGACGTATCGTTTCGTTTCGTTCGTTCGTCGTCGTCGTCGGCAACCCCCTAAACTTCTCGGGACGGGCAGCTTGACAAAATTTCCCGAAGCTCTGGAACCTGTCCCCCAGGCCCGCGCCGGTGGTGTGGCTGAACTGTGGCTTGGGTTGAAAGGTCACATGATCCAAGTACCACCAGCCACATCGGACAAAACATTCCTTGGCGGCCTTATCGATAATCTTGATAAGGCGATAGTGACAGCAGGTCCGTGCACCCAGAGCGAACCCCGCGGTTTGGGCTCGGTCGGTGCTCAGATTCTAGTGACGTCGCGCGACTTCTACCAGGTTCTGGTCGCTGCCCTACGACTTCCCGGCCTTGCCAGCGCATGCTGGATCAGTCCATCCTCTTGGCCCACTTCCAGGTTTACGGTCTGGATGAACCTCACTTTGCAAGCATAAATTCAACATTGCAATCAATCTTCAACTGGCTTCTCTTCTCAAGTCACCAAGCTAATTCTTGCACATATTGAGATACCCCCGTTGAATGATAGACTCTTCAACTTGAAGCCATTCTGAGCTTCCAACAATAACCAATCACTCACGTATAACCACTCTTAATTACCTACCACTCAACCTCACAACACAAACCACGCAAACACACACAATCGCTACTACAACTACACCACCAATATGAATTCACGAATGGAATTCACCGACAGAGGCGAGAAGGCCGTGCAGGATGCCATGGCCCTCGCGGAGCAGTACGCCCACTCCCAACTGCTCCCCGTCCACCTCGCCGTCTCCCTCCTCGACCCCCCGGCAGACCTCTCAAAGGACCAACAAAACGGCCCGCCGCAGACGTCCTCCATGTTCCGACAAGTCATTGAGCGCGCCCACGGCGACCCGCAACTCTTTGACCGGGCACTCAAGAAGACGCTCGTCCGCCTGCCGAGCCAAGACCCGCCACCGGACCAAGTCTCCGTCGCACCCACATTCCACGCCGTCCTCCGCAAGGCGCAAGAGCTGCAAAAGACGCAAAAGGACTCCTTCATCGCCGTCGACCACCTCATCCAGGCCCTCGCCGAGGACCACACAATACAAGCCTGCCTACGGGACTCCAACATCCCCAAGGCGAAGCTGGTGCACGATGCCGTCACCCAGATTCGCGGCACGAAGCGGGTGGACAGCAAGAACGCCGACACCGAGGAGGAGCACGAGAACCTCGCCAAGTTCACCATTGACATGACGGCCCTGGCCCGTGAGAAGCAACAAGACCCGGTCATTGGCCGTGAGGAGGAGATCCGCAGAGTCGTGCGGATCTTGTCCCGCCGTACCAAGAACAACCCGGTCCTCATCGGTGAGCCCGGTGTCGGTAAGACTACCGTCGTCGAGGGTCTCGCCCAGAGAATTGTTAACCGCGATGTTCCCGACAACCTCAAGGCGTGTAAGCTGCTGTCGCTCGACGTCGGTGCCCTGGTGGCCGGAAGCAAGTACCGCGGAGAGTTTGAGGAGAGAATGAAGGGCGTCCTGAAGGAGATTCAGGAGTCCAAGGAGATGATTGTCCTCTTCGTCGACGAGATCCACTTGCTCATGGGTGCCGGCTCTTCAGGCGAGGGTGGCATGGACGCCGCCAACTTGCTGAAGCCCATGCTTGCCCGTGGTCAGCTGCACTGCATTGGTGCGACGACCCTCGCTGAGTACCGCAAGTATGTCGAGAAGGACGCCGCCTTCGAGCGTCGGTTCCAGCAAGTTCTCGTCAAGGAGCCTTCCATTGCCGAGACCATTTCCATCCTCCGTGGTCTCAAGGAGCGATACGACAGACACCACCGCGTTACCATTCTCGACAACGCCTTGGTTGCGTCTGCCAACCTCGCCGGCCGCTACCTTACGTCGAGAAGACTTCCCGATTCCGCCATTGACCTGGTCGACGAAGCTGCTGCTGCAGTTCGCGTCGCCAGGGAGTCGCAACCCGAAATCATTGACTCTCTTGAGCGCAAGCTCCGTCAAATCATGATTGAGATTGCCGCTTTGGAGAAGGAGAAGGACGAGGCGTCCCAGACTCGTCTGGTCCAAGCAAAGAAGGATGCCAAGAACGTAGAGGAGGAGTTGGAGCCTCTTCGCCAGAAGTACCTGAGCGAGATCAAGAGAGGTGAGGAGATCCACTTGGCCAAGACGAAGCTCGACGAACTCGAGAAGCGTCTTGAGGATGCTGCCAACGCCGGCAACCACGCCAAGGCCGCCGACCTCCAGTACGGCGCCATCCCCGAGCAGCGTGCCGTCATCAAGGAACTCGAGGCCAAGAAGGCCGCTGCCGACGCCGCCCTCAACGCATCAGGCCAGGACCACGGCGCCATGGTCACTGATGTTGTCACCGCCGATCACATCAACGAGATTGTGGCCCGATGGACCGGCATTCCCGTCACTCGCCTTAAGACTAGCGAGAAGGAGAAGCTCGTCCTCATGGAGAAGCAGCTCGGCAAGATTGTCGTTGGTCAGAAGGAGGCTGTCCAGGCCGTCGCCAACGCCATCCGCCTGCAGCGGTCTGGTCTCAGCAACCCCAACCAGCCGCCCAGCTTCCTGTTCTGCGGTCCATCCGGTACCGGTAAGACTCTCCTGACCAAGGCGCTCGCCGAGTTCCTCTTCGACGACTCCAAGGCCATGATCCGCTTCGATATGTCCGAGTACCAGGAGCGCCATGCCCTTAGCAGAATGATTGGTGCTCCCCCGGGATACGTCGGACACGATGCCGGTGGTCAGCTCACCGAAGCTCTCCGCCGCAAGCCCTTCTCCATCCTCCTCTTCGACGAGGTCGAGAAGGCTGCCAAGGAGGTCTTGACCGTCCTGCTCCAGCTCATGGACGACGGCCGCATCACTGACGGACAAGGACGTGTTGTCGACGCCAAGAACTGCATCGTCGTCATGACCTCCAACTTGGGTGCCGAGTACCTCACGAAGTCCACCAACCGTGAGGGCAAGGTCGACGCTACCACTCGCGAGCTCGTCATGAACGCCCTCCGCAACTGGTTCCTGCCCGAGTTCCTCAACCGTATCAACTCGACTGTCATCTTCAACCGCCTTACCCGCCGCGAGATCCGCAAGATCGTCGACATCCGCCTGCAGGAGATCCAGAAGCGACTGGAGGGCAACGGCCGTAAGGTCTACATTGACGTCTCGGAGGAGGCCAAGGATTACCTCGGCAACGCTGGCTACTCGCCCGCCTACGGTGCTCGTCCGCTGTCCCGCTTGATTGAGAAGGAGGTTCTCAACAAGCTGGCCATCCTCATCCTTCGCGGCAACATTCGCGATGGCGAGAACGCCCGTGTCGAGCTCATCAACGGCAAGATGGTGGTGCTGCCTAACCACCAGGACAGCGAGCTCGATACCGATGACGAGGACATGGACGAGGAGGATGCCGTCGACGAGCTTGTTGCTGATGAGATGGATGAGGACATTTACGACTAAAGCGAATCAAGAACAACAGAATGAAAGTCGGAGGACACAAGGAGATGATTCACGAAAGCATGATGGTTAAGATTGATGGGGTCTTTTTTCAGTGTAGAGATATAAACTCTAGAGGATGAGAGAGCATCAGGCGTTAGGGATTAAAATGGTTCGAGCGTAGGATTTTCTTTTTTACAGGAGTTGTAAATAGGTTATAGGACTATAAAAGGTTCAATGGAAAAAACATACCAAACATTTCAATGTGCCCGAAACTGAAATATGCGTCTGTAAGTGATTACGCTTAGTGACATGAACAATGTGGTGAATGACGGAACAATGGGTTTGTGCAGGAGATAGGCAGCTCATTCGAGTTGGAGATACTCGTGCCAACACATATTAACCACACAGAGGTGAAGAGATACCTGGGATTAGATACAGGAGGGTAGGTTGTAAACAGGTTATAGGACTTCAAGAAACAATCTCAATGGAAGGTGTTGCGTTTATTCTTCTAGTCTAACACAATACATTGCAAGACAAAAGCCTCTCCCTCGTATGTTCCCCCAATAAGTTCCATTCCTTATCACCAGCAACAGCAGGCACCCCTCTATACGCGGTTCAACACATTCTGGGCTAGGGAGGCGGCAGAGTGTTCCAAGGCCAACAATCGATGAACGTACGCTCGCAGCCTTGCTTGATGACATACATGATCATACCGAACTCGAGATTCGAGTCCCCTGCATGAGCAGTGATCGAAGCACCAGGATATGCAACCTACCGAGTTGAGCACCTTTTATATTCCATCTACTCAGCCCGGAAGAGTTTGGTATTAGTCTCTCTAGTGAATGCAATAAACGTACGTCGAGATATTAGTTGAATAGTACCAAAGCTGAGTATAATACCGCGAACACAGTCAGTCATACTCGAAACGGACATGTCTGAGAAGCAAACACCGCAATGTCCCAGAGACTCAATCTCAACCAAGGTTGAAAGGCACTTGTGATAGTATGACTTCATCATGGGGCATCAAAGCCACGTGAGATGTAACGCTCTGTCAAAGTGACACCAGGACAAGACGAGGTGTATCAAGTCACTAACTAAAAGCATTTACAAAATTCGGTCAAGGGCGAGAATGATTTGGGGACCGCGCATATTGGACAAAGTCTTGGCGTCTCTGGCGGAGGCAGCAGATGGACTTATTCCTCTCGAGATATACATTCTGCACCACTGAGATTGTGGCATACTAGCTGATAAGTTCGCTTTCGTCCTCAGATGAGAACGCCATGGGGATATCTGATAATCCAGGTCCTGGAGATAAATCTTGCTTACCATCAGATTAGGAGATTTCCGAAGATACCTTACGAATGACGTCGGAGCTACCTGAATGGCCGCCGAAGCAACGTGTGCCTGCCGACTGTGATGTAGCAGCGCCCGGCATGCCAAGCGGTCACGATATCTACTTGTTTGTTCTGCCCAATGCCCATCACACCTCACATGCAGCGTCCGTGACAGATGCATGCCCGGGGAGCCCCGTGGCTATTTCCAGCGGGTGTCGGGGACGGCTCACTCGACACCAAGCAGACCTACCAAGGTTATAATGGCGCCCACGTAGCTATCCACGCCAGGTAGCTATTGGCGCCATATAGCTATTGAGAGC